AAAATTTTGTTTTTTTTAATACCAGGAATCGAGGGATGAACTTTTTGATTGGAATGAGAGGTGGTGTGAAGTTTCACGAGTCTCGAAAGAATGAGTACTTGCCTTTTATTTTATTTTTTTATCTCGTACACTTAAAATATATTTATTTATTATTAAGTATCAAAGCTACTTTATATTCAAAATATGATTCGATAGTATGTTCATCATCGTATGTAGACTATAATATATTATTGGTTTAAAGTATGTGTTTTATCTACTATTCATATTTAGCTCTTGTTTGGTGCAATTAAAAATTTAATTTTTAATAAATTTTGATAAAAATTGATAAAATATGTGATTAAAAAATTGTGGATGGTATGAAATGTGTGTTTAAAATTAATTATTGAATGAGAAAAGCCAACATTTATATTAGTTTTCTTTATTATTTTACCGTAGTCTTTGTCACAATTGATTGAAATGAGATTGTAGAACTTTTTGTTGATCGCTCATTATCATGTATTGGATGTATTTTTTTAATATTTTAAATAAATTTCAAGTAATGAATAATAAATGTAAAGTCCCAAAAATTGTCATAGAATGAAATTAATTATGCTATATTTTAAATTTTGGAAAAGTTGGGAGACTAAAGTGATGTATGTATAAATACAATTTTATTCTGGCCAAATATTTAGATTTCGGTAGGGCGAAGATAAATATATCAATATGGGGCTCATTGAATAGCTCGTAATTAATCATGTATATTAAACTCGAGAAAAAGTGCAAGTCATGTATCTCATAAAGTTGTTGGAGAATATTTGGTGAAGTGATCATTAAAATTAATGTAATATTTAAATCCATCAAAAGACTTAACATGATAACACCAAACATCATAATAAACTAAATTAAGAGTAGAATCACTAACAAGATAGGATTCAGAAAAAAGATAATTTGTGACTCTTGTTACAAAGACATGCATCACAATTATTGATCCTAAGATGACGAGAAGACAATGGAATCTGTTCAAAGGAAAGTAAATGATCAAGCACTTTTGCAGAGGAATGACCCAGACTTGAATGCCAATCAAACATGGAGCAATTGAAAGAGGAGAAGGCAATCACAAAAGATAGATAAGGAGTTGCATTCGACATCTCATATATGCCCTCATTGGGTCGACCGCGCAAGAGTACGGTTCCCAATTTCAAATCCTTCATAGAAAAGAATAGATAAGAATTCAACAGGAACATTATTTGTGAGACAAACTTTTGAAACAAAAATTAAATTTTTTCGTAGATGGAACTCATAAAACACTGGATAAAGTAAAGGGAGTGGATTTAGAGGGTAAAGAGGTGGAATCCAAATGAGAAATCGAGAAACCAGTACCATCACCAATCATGACATCATTTGGACCAGTATACTCAGAGTGGAGGGAATGGTTCTATAGGTCACTTGTAATGTGATGAGATGCCCCAGAGTAAAGAATCCAATTGGAGGAGGTTAGTGTGGCAATAATATTGGCTTGAAGGTTATATGGTCGAAATGGTGTTTGGGGGTTAGGGGTAGTATATTCTTGAGGCCAAGGAACATGTTTGAGATGAGGACACTATTGGGCGAAGTGCCCAAGGTTGGTAAGGATATGTCTTGGTCGTGATATTGGCCGTATCATGAGTAGGTGATGTTTTGGTAGCTTCATGCTTCATAAGGGCTTCAAAAGTGAACAACTTTTCATGAAGCTCATCGAAGGAGATTGTGGTTTTACGGGCATGTATAGCAGAACTTAGAGAGCTAAACTCATCATCAAGGCCGGATAGGATTTTATCTGTAAGAAAATCAGGTGTGAGGAGTGCGTTCATGAAAGAGAGCGTATCTGAGAGAGATTTAACATACTATATATACTCCATGATCGATTGAGATCCTTTAGGTAGGTGATCAAGGAGACCAAAGACTTGCATGAGAAGCCAACGAGAAGGTGTAGCATGAGTGGTATGGACGAAAAGCCATGCTTGACGGGAATTTTTGCCAAGGCGATGAATGGTACAAGTGTTGGGCAGATAGAGTCTAGTATCACATTTAAAAGAAGTTGATCTTATCGAATGTAGAAAGAGTATGCTGGATTTGGAACAGAGACATTATCAGTTATAATGGTGGAAGATGGAGTGGGAAATAAACCATCGATATAGCTGGACAGATTGTTGCCAATGAGGAGTGTTTGAAATTGTTGGCGCCAGGAAAAATAATTTGTATGATTGAGTTTAATGGGACATTGGGCATAGAAGTTTAAAGTGATGAGAGAATTGTTGTTGTCAAGTGGGTTAAGGAGAGAGGGTTGAGAAATAGTGGTGGTGGGACCAGTGTTAAATGTAGAGCTAATATCAGCAGATAAGGTAGTTGTTGTCATGTTTGGCTAGTGTGGCCTTGATACCATAAAAGAATTAATAAACAGAAGAATCTAACTAGAAAATGGCATACTTCTTTTCATCAAAGGTTGGTATATATAGGGGTGGAGCCCAATAGAGACTAGTGCTGGCACAAGCCTACACTGAACTTTGGACCCAACCCAAATCGCTTTCATATTGTTTGTTTTAAAGTTTTGGACTATTAGTGAAAAGCCCAATCGAAAAACTAGCAGAGAAGCCACACATTTCAATCCACAGATTTCACTCTTCTCAGCTTCTGCCTCTCTAAGACTCCGCCCCGACACCTCACTTCACAGCCTCTTACTCTCGTCTGTCGTCTCTCACATCATTCTTTATATTGATTGGGTGCTTTGGTTGAAATGAGCTTTTAACATTGAATAACTTTTCAAGGTATGGTCTTATAAGCCGAATAAGTTTTCGAGTTATGGGCTCATCTTATCTTGATCCCTATATTTATCATTAATGTATTAGTGTTTGATGTTTTGTCATATTATTAATTTTGTATTTATGTGTTTTGTTTGTTGATATTGTTTTGAATTGATGCTATGAAGACACTTTGGATTTATGCTATATAAAAATGTATTCAATTTTAAATTTTCAAGGGTCAACTTGGGGAAAAAATCTGCCTTTTTTTTATTTTAAATATTTTTTTGTTGGGACTCTTGTTATGTGTTTGTTCATTCTTTATGCATATTAAGATATACGTATTTTTTATTTGTATGGGCGTTTTTATATTGAATTTTGGCCATAAGATCAATGGAAAATAGAGAGGAAAAATAAGAGAAAAGAAATGTAGATTGATTTTCTGGACTATGGTTTGGCACTTAAGCAGGAAATTAATCTAGCTAATATAGAAGTAAAGAAATTAGCGAGAAATTGATGAATGATTATGTTAAGCATATAAATTTTGTGAAAACAACTAAATTTCTGTAAGTCACAGACGTTTTGTTATTTTAATTAAAAGTTGAAAATAATTCTGTTAAGATTTATCTATAGGTTCAAGTAGAGAATTCCATAGTAAGGTGATTTTGCGGACCATTTGAATCTCAATAGAGAGTTGTTGCTCATGAAAATTTTTGACTCTTAATGCATTGATCTTCATATTGATTGGGGGCTTTGTTTGAGTTTGAAAATTACAAACAACTAACAAATAATAACTAAGAGATATGGTTACAAAATGATATACAATATTCAAATTAACAATTGTCCTTAACACAAACACTGCAATAATTAGTTCCGCATTCAACTATTAATGTTTGCCCAATTATATATTTTTGAGCCCTAGAAATATGAGTTTTTTAATAGCAATTTTTTTCTTGTAGTTAAAACGTTATGTGAAAATTTATTTACAAACTTTACAAATCTGAAATCTCAAGATTCGTTTATGGCAATTCATTGATTCGGGAATTTAAGGGAAAAAAAGAAAGAAAGAAAGAAAAAGAAAAGCCAGTTGCAACTTGTTCAAGTTCCCCAAGAACAAATCACCAGCCTTCACTTTCTCATTTTACAGAACATAAATCCTTTCAAATGTACATTTTATTGAAACCCAAAAGATTTAAGACTCAAAAAATAGTAAACAAATATATGGAGATATGTGTACCTTTCTAAGAAAGTAGAGGCTTTCAAGAATAATATGCACTAAGAATCAGAAATGAACTCAAGAAGTTCACTTTGCAGAAAATCTGAAGTTGAAAAACGAAGCTTCTTAACGCTTTGCTCCTTTTAATTAATGGACTTTTGACCAAGAATCTGCAAATGCGTGTTTTGTGTCTCTGATGGGGTGGAGGACACCGTGGCAGTTATTTAGAGCATGTTTGGTACAGTTTAAAATCCAATTAAAATTAATTTTTTAATCGTTATTTCACTATTCTATCCGTCATTTTTGAATTTTTCTTTCACAAGTAGACTCACTTTATCTCTAACGGTCAAAAAATCAATTAACAAAATTTCTACAAAAAAAACACTTATTTTGACAAGCTTTATCTCTCTAAAAATCTGTTATTTACGAAACCAAACAGGAACTAATTTAACTACACGCAATAGAAAACAAACACGTTGAATAACATAAATTGTTAGTGATTAACAATTAACATCCAATGTAACAGTGAAATTAATGTCAAAATTTTCTGAAAATTAATTGCATTCTCATTTTATAAGAAAACATGACAATTATTTCACAAACACATAGATGTTTAATTCAAGTTAAACTTCACTCTCTTCAATTTAAGTAAAAGTGTACATTTAGATTAGTATCAATTTTTTAATATATCCTTATTTAACATAACTTGTTATTAAAAGATATAGGAGTGTTTAAGAGACATTTTTTTTTATATAAAAATATATTTTAGAATAATAACTTGATGGGAAGTGTGTGGTTGAAAAATAATGAAAGTTTTTGATTTATGTGTAATATTATTTTAATAAAAAATGTGTGATTGAAATGAAGAGAGAGAAAAATACATTTCGAAAAATATAGATACCAAACGGGAGCATAAAGTACCATTATTCAATTTAGGGATATCCCCTTTACTGTAAAAGAGGGAATTACCTTTCAATGTTCATTTTGTCCCTTTCGTTTCACACTCAAACCGGATAACTAACTGCTCACAAACGAGTTTTTTTTACTGTTCATAACTAAATATATACTTCTTTGACCTTTTTTACCTCTTCTAATTCTAATACCTTTATTATACCGTCTCTCTAATCGATATCTCTGTATCTGTAAGTAGGGAAAGAAGAGAAGATGAAGATGAAGATGAAGGCGACGCACAGGAAAGATCCATCCGACGGCCAACATGATGGAGGAAGGGAAGTTCAAGTGCGAGATTCAGGACCTCATGGCCAAGGTGAAAGAACTAAAACTTTCCCTTTTACTTTCCCTCTCCCTCTCCCGCGAAGAGCTACCAAAACCTGTTGATTATTGAGTTTCATAAGCACAGCCCTAACCTGGAAAATCTGTTACGTCTCTTACTTCTTTGCAATTTTTTATTCTGTCCTTTTTTGTATCAATTTGGAATTTAAATTTCGGTTATTTTTACGTTTATTTCTCAGATTTTTGCAAAAATGACTCAAGAAATTGAGATGAAAGAGCAACAACCTGCACTCTCTAACTCACTCTTCGCCACTGCTCCCTCAACTTTTCAGAGTAAGTATGCGCACATACATGTATGAATATATATGTTGTTATTTTATTTATTATTATATTTTTTCTTTGTATGCCGTGTTGATTTATGAGAATTTTTTTAAATTTGTGTTCATTAATCTGTGTTCATTAAGTTATTGATTATATACGAATTCATTGTATGATCTATTTTATCGCTTTGTTGTACGAGAATGTTTGCATCATGTACATTGTAGATGAGATTATGGTCACTGTAGTGCACATTCCATCACATTTATAAATCTATATAGTGTGTTACCGTACTATTTTAGGCTTTAATTGGGAATGATAATACCAGCACGTACACATGATCAAACTCATATAGTTTGTTGTTGTGTATGCTCATGTGGATTATATCATTAATATGGTGCTGGAAAAATAGTAGTGTAAGTGACTTTAGGTTGCATTTCATGGAAAATTTTCTGTTTTTATGACGAGATAATAACATGGAACAATGGTTGATGTGTGAAAATGACATGAGTAAGGAGATATGGTTGCCCTGTTTTACCAGATTTAGTGTTGCTTGCAGAGGATGAGCAGGACATGGAACTGGATACCGCAAAATCTGCAACTCAAGCTCCTGCAAAGCACCCTTTACCAGAACTTGAAGTCTATTCATGTTTGCTTGTTCTGATATTTCTGATTGGTCAGAAGAGATACAGCGAGGTACAGAAATATGATTAGTATTCTGGCATGAACTTTCTATTGATATTTGAATCGCTGCAAATTATCATTCTGTTTTCTTTGTTTCCTTCAGCCTAAGGCCTGTTGTTTGACAAGCATTGCTCGTCTAAAGAACCTGAATAGGCGAACTGTTGATGTTCTAGCATCCAGGCTCTACTTTTACTACTCTCTAAGCTATGAACTTACTGGTGATCTTGCTGAAATTCAGGGGTATGTTATTTACTCGTATTTATTTTGGCTCTTTCTATGACAACTAAGCCTGAGGACAAAGCATACTTACATGAGCAGCCGGTGCAATTGAAGTTGAATGTTGTTTTCCCTATTTTTAGCAATAATATTATTGGTTCTCTCTTTTATGGTCTTTACGTCTAATGGAGGTAACAACACAATTGTAAAGAGTTCAATGACTTGTGAGCGTAAACCAACCCCTTCACAAATGCAACGTAAGGTGCATAAGCCACCCCTTCACACTTGCAATCTTCTGTTCAAAACAAACCATTGATATAAAGTAAGCAGTCTAAAGAAAACTATCAAGGCAAAGGTCATACCTAAAAACAGCCTATGTCATCCTCTAGACCTCAAGTATGGCAAACATTTTATTCATTCAGCAATTGATGGTATGTGATAAAAAAAGTTGCTATGTTTTCAGATAGAATGCTGTACAGTATAACCTTGTTTTTTAGTGAAAACTGTTGATTAAAAGTTTACAATTCACTCAAGTCTTTGAGAGGTAAATGTAAAAATTGCCCCATTATTTCATCTTTCACTAAAAAATTTCCTTGGACCCTCACTCTGTTGCACATACCACTTAACATTCTGTTAATTATTACAATTAATGAAGATAATTTATTTCGATTTTCTGAACGGATTATATATAGTCTGCTCACTATTACTATTTTATTATTATAACCATCGAATTGGCAACGCATAGGAGATAAATATTTCAAAATAATAGAAAGGTTAGATCCTCATTGGAGATAAATATGCTTAGTTAAATTATTAATCAAAAGCTTCAATTGTCTATTTTTTAAGAAGAACGACAAAACCAACAGACACCATCAAGAATAGACATATTTTTAAACCAACCGCTCAAAAGTATCATGTTACTATACACGATCAGTTTCTTACTATGTCCATATCTGATAACTAGCATATCATATGAGTAGAAATACGAGAAAAAATACAATTTCCATTGAGGCCATCTGACTATAAACTGAAGTAGGCATCAAAACATTGTACGCCTTGGGGAACCATGATCTCTGAACGACGTGAATCAATTTGCGGATCAAGTGGAATAGATATGTAGCCATCATGATAAACAATCCCCAGTTGCCTTCTATTGCATTTGCAGATGATGTGCTCAAACAGAGATTTCACAGTTGATTACATGATAGTCAAGTCTATGCTATTAGAGATTACCCTTCGACACGAGTTCCTGTGATGAGAATTTGATAAATTACGTATTTTGCTCGTGACTGCTAAGGTAGCCTATTGATTAGGAAATCTTTACTCTATCATTGCAATATACCACCATCAATTGATCAAAGATTTAGCAGGCTCAGTCCATATATTCAATGCACTATTTAATGAACAAATGCCTAGAGAATCTTAAACATGAAATAGTGTCAAGAAATAAATGTACCGCCCCTCGGGGCATAGCTCAACTGGTAAATCAATCAACATTGTTTTGCTTCCAGTGACAGGGTGGAGAGTTCGATTCTTGGTGGAAACCTGCGGCCAAAAAATTTGGTATGGAGCAATCACTGTGGAGGAGGGTCTCTTGTGCGCAGAAGTGTACAGGCAATGGGGGGAACCTGTGGTCCAGTTGAGGTATAACCCGCGATTTACCCCCTCCAAGGTTCTAGGGGCAAGGGTCTTGGGGGTTCAGGATTTAGTCTGGTGTAAGTTGGGATACCTGAGTATAATAAAAATAAAAAATAAAAAAAGAAATAAATGTACCTTGCTGGAATATCTTCATCTTTGTGCTCCTCGCTTTCAAGCATTGTCCTAGATTACTCCTCTATTTCAAGCGTAGTCCCAGATTCCATCACGGGCAAGATCTGTTCAAAAAAATTTGTACATTTATAAGCTTAGATCTTAAACATTAATGTTTATTGCAATATAATTGTTGCTTCCGTCATCAACTGTTGTAAACATTATGTTATTTGATCTTAATTATTGTTACATTTTTATTATTTATTTTTTTCTCCTTTCTTCCAGATAATTGATTCAAGAGCATTAAATCAAATTTAATTGTACTTGAGGTAATGAATGCAGGAAATTAGGATATGATGCATGCTTCCATTACAGTATAATTGTGTTATGATATTTTCTAGAAGAAAAATGTTAGGTCACCAGTTCTTGTTATGACAACACTCACTTGTATTCTAGAAAACAAAATAATCAGTAATGGAGCATTATTCTTTAGTAATTAATCAGTCCATTGCTTTCTAATCCAGCAATCTTTATATCTTTTTTTATGCAATGACTATTTAAATTTGCAAATTTATTTTTTTATTTACATATTTTTTTTATATGTTAAACTGATTCTATAGATGTATATATATATATATTTTTCACATTTTAAAATTTTATTAAATGTTGTTTACAATTTTATGTCAGATGATTGCAGATTGGAACAAGAAGCAGGTTACTTCTTCAACATGAGATATGTTGAAGAAATGGTGGAAGACAGGGAATGGGGACAAGCGGAAAAGTACTTATTTTGGTTCATTCAGGTTGATAATAATGGATATTAAATGAAATTTTTCTTCGAATTTGATCTTATTTTGAAACATTATTTCTTTTATACAGGTATGAAAATTTTGTAATACACCTTCCAGTCAACCCTTAACATTCAAAACGCTAACATTACCTTAAAAATGACCCAGTCCGTGCATTGCAAGGGACAAGGGCGAAAAACTAGTCTTAGGAAAAATGTAAATTAAATTCATAGTTCCAATATATATTAATTAAGTTTTTTTAATCTGTGTGAAAATGAAAGCAAATCAATCTTTATGGGAATGAAGGGGTATTAATAATTATTTTGGATAAAGTTATGTTTAAAAGTTAATAATGAGGTATTAGTAATGATTTTGGATAAAGCTAATTTTAAAAGTTAATAACAAAATTGAAAAAATAAAAAGTACTTCCTCTATCCCACAAAAAAAAATAAAAAATAAAAAAAATCCAATACTGGCAAATGTTAATTGTTATGTTGAATAATATTACTCTTTTGCTAATATATATTTTTACATTAAGTAATTATTTAAAATAAGAGCAGTCCATTTTTTTTTTATTCGGGTTAACTTACAAGTACTTTGACTAATTTCACGGGACCCTAAAATTTACAGTTGCGTACTCATTTCAGTGGCGACTCGAACTAATGATCATTATCGAGAAAATTTAAGATCTGATCAGTGAACTACCTTCCAAGTTGAGAGCAATCCATTTATTGACAAGAAGACAAAGAAAATAAAATTCTATATTTTCAACAGTTAAAAGTCACGTATAATTTGAGAGTTTTGCCTATTTGAGAGAAAATTTTAACAGATGTTTTGACATAATTTGAGGTGATGATTTGACAATTCTACTTTCTGACATACTGATACTGAAGGAGTAAAAATCATTGGGTTATAAGAAAATCTACGGCCTGCAATCTGACAGAGAATCCTCTCTTCTCTTACCCCTAAAAGTGCCGGTTTGCCTACACGAACATCAGGATCTAGTAAATCGATCCCAGATTTCTCGGAATCTGAATCAAAATTCTGACTCCATAATTGTCCCTTAATGGCTAAGTGTTTTAGCTTCACAGCCTCAAGAGACTGGTGTTATAGATACTCTTTTTCCACATCCGGTCTAAAGTCATCCACCACCGACCTTGGCGACGGCACCATCATGCACTGTTGGGTGCCCAAAACCCCCAAACATTACAAACCCAATTTACTTCTCATCCATGGAATTGGCGCCAATGCAATGTGGCAATGGAATGAATTTATTTCCCCATTGTCCTCCAAGTTCAACGTATACGTTCCGGACTTGCTGTTTTTTGGCGATTCATACACCACAAGGCCGGAGAGGACTGAAGCCTTTCAGGCTCAGTCTGTGATGAGGACCATGGAGGCGCACGGCGTGCGTAGAATGTTCGTTGTAGGGCTGAGCTATGGTGGGTTTGTTGCGTACAGCCTAGCGGCGCAGTTCCCTCAGGCGGTGGAGAGGGTGGTGATTGGATGCGCTGGAGTCTGTTTTGAGGAGAAGGACATGGATGAGGGGTTGTTCAGTGTAAAGAGTGTGGATGAGGCTATTAGCATATTGCTGGCTCGAACGCCGGAGAAGTTGATGGAGTTGATTAGACTTTCGTTTTACAAGCCGATGAAGACCGTGCCTTCTTGTTTTCTCTCGGATTTTATTGATGTAAGTTATTATGTTTTCAATGATTTTTTAGTTTCAATAACTAAGAATTCAATACGGTAGTGAATGAATTGGAGTAATTGATCAGTTTTGAAATGCATTCCATGAGCATTTTCTGAATTTGGGCTTGATTTTAGAATTGATATGCTAGTGATTTCACATTGCAATGTGCGGAAATTTTGCTTGAAATGGTTACCGGAAATTATAAACATCTAACCCACTGTAATCAACTGAAGAAGAATGGATTATGGTTCACATTGATATATCTGTCAATTGATCAGACACACGCTGATCCTTCTAATTTATGTTTTGTGATGCCATTGCTATTCGTCCGGGATCCTCAGTGTATTATGAATTTGATATTGAATTGCAATAATACTACCATAAGTTTAATCAGATTAACTCTGGGAGGAGCAGATCCTCTTCAATGTAGAGGCTGCAATGCCCATAAGAGTCATACAAGCATTAGGCATTGGCATAGAAAGGAATAAACATTTACAATAAATCTAGGCTGAGCTATATAGAACCGAAGCAACATGTACATCTGCCCGTTGTCCTAGGTAAACTTACTTTAGAAATTTGGACAACAGCCTCTCCTGATTAAAAATCAGTCCCTATCTCTTTGCTCTTTAACATATTTAATACTAGCTTTTGTAACAATATCATGGTACGTTAAGCTCAATCCTATACTTGTATAGATAGTTGTCTACAAGTCTTTTGGATTAAGTGAAATTATAAACGTCTAATCCAATGTAATCAACTGAAGAAGACTGGATTGAGGTTTACATTGATATACCTGTCAATTGATCAGACACATGCTGATCCTTCATTCCTTCTAATTTATGTTTTTGTGATACCATTGCTATTCATCCAGGATCCTCCATGTATTATGAATTTGATATTGAATTGCAATAATACTACCATAAGTTTAATCAGAATAACTCTGGGAGGAGCAGATCCTCTTCAATGCAGATAAGAGTTATACAAGCATTAGGCATTGGCATAGAAAGGAATAATCATTTACAATAACACTGATAGTCCAATCTAGGCTGAGCTATATAGAACCGAAGCAACATGTACATCTGCCCTGTTGTTCCAGGTAAACTTACTTTAGAAATTTGGACAACAGCCTCTCCTGATTAAAAATGAGTCCCTACCTCTTTTCTCTTTAACATATGTTATACCAGCTTTTGTAACAATATCATGGTACGTTAAGCTCAATCCTATACTTGTATAGATAGTTGTCCACAAGTCTTTTGGATTAAGTGAAAGTGTTAAAAAGCTACTAGCATCTTTTTCCATTTTATATTTCAGTTTCTATTAAATCATAGTTCTTCTCAGGAGATTATAATTCCCATTTTCTGTTGTTTGGTAGATCATTCAATTTTATGACACTCCATGTCTAATGAAACTTCAATACATCACATGTTAGCAACTAAATAATGGTGTCTGAAAGAGCTGAATGACTTTGAATTTAGATGTCTGATGTGTTTGGAATTGAATTTACATTGTATATCATGATAAGTAGAAGAAAATAATGGAGCCAACCATCAGTTCAGCCTGTAGATTATTAATTTTTCCTTTAGTTAATATTTTAACTAGAAATGTCGATCGTTTCTTGGAGGATTGACTATTCAAATATATAATACTCCAGAGAATCTCTTTCTCTTGTCTAACCCCTTGCCCCAAGAGTTTAGTTCTTACATCAAGTACATATATTTATTTACATTCATCGACAACCTAATCCAATGCAGCAAAATTTTCTAAATGGTTGTAAGGGTAGATTATAGTTTAACATTTTCAGTCAATAGTAAGCAAAATGGAAAAGTGTTTTACATCCAAAATATCAAATTTTATTGAATACTAAATCTGTGATTGTGCGTGTTGGTTGTTGTTTTTTGGCTTGAGTTTAGTCATTTTTTCCTTCATTGTTGAGTTCATGGAGAGTGTTTCTATTGGTGCAATCGCAGTTGTTTCTGATGACGAATACTTTGTATTAGCTGTTTGAGCCAACTTTTTATTTACCTGTCACAACCTTGTAATTGCTTGATTTTTTTAGTTGTCCTGAAGCTGAATTTACGTTTTTGGTGTTTTATACATGTTTGTGCAGGTTATGTGTGTAGAAAACTTTCAAGAAAGAAAAGAGTTGGTTTATGCTTTACATAGGAACAGAAAACTCTCAGATCTGCCTAAAATTACTCAGGTTTGTTTTGCATTTTATAATCTGTAACATTTTGCTGCCTTCACTTCTCACTTCATCCTTTTGAGCCTTGTATATTCTCTTTATTCAGCCAACACTGATAATTTGGGGAGAGTATGACATGGTCTTTCCACTGGAATTGGGCCACAGATTAAAAAGGTGAACCCAAAGAATAGTTTACGACATTTTGCATCCTTTCTCGATTATTTTAGTAGCATAAAAATGATTTCTAATTTTGGATTTATTTAATTCCTTTAGAAAATGATGATTTAATGTCATCCTTATTTACTTTCAAATAGACTATACCTTTCTCTTTAGTGGATTTATTATTGCCTTCCTTTTTAGGCATTTGGATGACAATGCACAGTTAGTTGTCTTAAAGAATGCTGGTCATGCAATTAATATGGAGAAGTCGAAGGAACTATACAAACACTTGAAGTCATTCCTTATCTATCCTGCTCTGTCTAAGATTGAGAGCAACGGAAACAACCGCAAAGTGGATTAAAAGGTTCGAAATACACTTTAGTTAATTAAGCGGCTGCCAGTTTAAATTTAGCATGCATATATTGAACTCGGATAGCTATATTCCAGAAAATTCATGCTGTATTACAAAATACATTTTATAATACAGAACCATAAAATATAAGAGAAATGCTTTCTTGCTGAGGAAGCTTGATCAGTTTACGATGAAGGGTTGTTTTGAAGCATTTGAAAGCTTTATTGTGTGCTATTTCTACTGCAATATTAAGTTGATTGCTATAAACTCCAACAGAGGTGTATACAAAAGTTGTAGATATTTGTCCAAGACTTGTCTGTTTGTAATATTAATATCGATATATATTTGAATGAAGATGTTGTCTAAAGGATCGAATTGTTGGTTATATGAAAAACTTAGTTACTTATATTTATATTTTCATTATATCCTTCATGTGCAAACATATTTATTCAAAAAAAAAAATAATAATAATAAATAAATTAAAAATAAAAAATAAAAAATGAAGAAGAAGCTAAAATCTTATTCATTGTATTATCGAGTCCCGTCTACTGCCACACACCAGACAGACACTAAGAGTCTTGTAACATTCCTTGACAATTAAGAACTTCTTTGAATAATCTATCCAAGTTTGTGTATGATGAACCTCCTGTTTCTGTTGCTTCTTCTGCTTTTCTCTTCCATTCCATAGTCCTGCTTTTCATTTCTTTTCCTTTCTCTCCTTTCATAACATTCCTAACAAGTTCTTCAATGTCGTCTCTTTTAACATCATAATTAACTTCCAATCCGACTCCCCATTTTGTGCAAAGATATCGACAGTTTGTTTGCTGCTCAGCAAAGAAAGGCCAGCATATCATGGGCACCCCTGCAGATATACTCTCGAGTGTAGAGTTCCATCCACAATGAGTAAGAAAGACTCCAACTGATGGGTGGGAAAGCACTTGATCTTGTGGGCACCAGCTCATGAGCAAACCTCGATTCTTGGTTTCCTCGAGAAAATCTCGAGGCAATGTTGCCGACTCCCCCATCGCAATATCTGGCCGAACAATCCACAGAAATGGATGCTTGCTATTTGCAAGGCCCCAGGCAAACTCTTTTAAGTGTTGATCAGAAATCGTAGTGACACTTCCATAGTTTACATAGATTACAGAATTTTGTGCTTGTTTATCCAGCCATTCTAGGCAGGCTGCATCTTCTTTCCATAGGCTTGGCTTAAAAGAGCTTAATTGGCTTTCTGGTAAGCCCCTGGTAAGCAATGCAAGGGGACCCACAGTGTAAATTGGGGGAGAAATGGGTGAAATTGCCTCTAAAACTTCATGTTCAAGATCATTGAAAGTGTTGATGATAATTGCAGAAGCTTTTAAAATGTTTTGTGCTTCGTCTCCTAAGTAATTTAGCAGGATGTCATCAGGGTTTGTTGTTCTAATAAGGCTCGGCATGTCCTTCAATCGCATGTTTTTCATGCCTGGAATCCAGTTTACAGGCGTGTCTAGCAAGCCATTTTCCATGAAGTTTTCATCTGTTACACAGAGTCACATGGTTATTAAATTCCGATATCTGATACCATGTTAAGAATAGAACCAACATCCTGAACTAAAACAAAAGGTTTAATGTACCATTGAAAGGTATAATTCCTCTCTTTATGAGTTCATGATATTGCAGATATCCCATGAAGCCGCAAGCAGAGGCTGTCCAGAATTGAACAACAGGTATGCCAAATTCTTCCCCAGCCTTTATGGCAAAGCTCATGACTCCATCTGAAATTATGCATGTGATCCGTGGAACCTCATCAGAATGAACAAGCTTAGAAAGTAGATTTCGGAAAAAAGGTAAACAATTCTTTCGAATGGCTTCACATAGCGCGGCAGGATTTTGGGTTGCATCACGATCAGATGGTGGTAATCCTTCTGATATAGTCTCGAACCTGAAATCCTTGAACCCCTCTACCCAGTCTGTTCCCTTAGACCGGATTAAGCGCCTGTGGTTATACTCAGTATTGACGAAAGTAACGTAAAATCCTTTTGAGTGAAGAATTGTAGCTAGTTGCATCGTAGGAATCAAGTGGCCTTGTGCTGGAAATGGTACAAGAACTGCGTGAGGCTTTCCACCAAAATTGGTGCCCATATTTGACAAAGAAACAAAACAATAGTGGTTCGATGATACAGGCTCTGAATATTTATATGCCTGTGAAAGACGTATTAAAGACAAAGTTTGAATAAACAAATTTGTCCCGTCTCGAGTAACAAGTCTTTAGAAGAGCTAACGCGAGCTCTTTACTCTTTGACAAATTTACTTGACATCATTTGGTTGGTTTTTCAAATTACGTGCCAGGCTTTTTTGGCTTTTCCTTGACTGGATGATAGAACAGAATTGGGATTAGCCCGCCGCCTTTGAAGATTATTCTCCGAACTAAGATGTTTTTATGTTACTTCACGTATGATTACTTATTTAATTTGGACACAAACAACTGTTTGCTCTGTGTTCTTTCTTTGGTCTATCTCATACTACAAAACAGAATAATAGTCAACAAATGGACCGAACGAGATTATCGCGTTTGACTGGCGTTTAGTGACGTTTTGAGAAAAAACTTTGGAACTTCCAAAAATTCAGTTTATTAAAAGTAGGTCGATATTTTTTATTTTTTATTTTTTGATCAATCTATCAGATTTCATTTATGTAAGTCGTATTGAATGGCGTTGCTCATGCGCTAGCTAAGTTTGTTGTCTTGAGTTCGATTGAAACTGGTGTGGATGTCTTTACCCAAAAAAAAAAAAAGTTTCATTTAAGAACTTGTACTCCGAGATATTTCTGAATAAAATCTTATTAGGAATAAATTTTGAATAAAATTTATTTATTTATAGAGAGCTATATATCACCTTTTGACTAAAGCGTCTAACAGTTAAACTCCCTCCATGTAAATAAAATAGAAAAACTACTCTAACTCTTCAACCCCACCCCGTTACTGGAATCGCAATCAACACCCAGACTACTGAAAAAACTTGAACAATAAATAACAATTGAAACTTGATAAATGAAACTTTAATCCCCGATGAAGATATATATGTTCTACATTTAGTCATGCTAGATAGACGGAATAAGTAGTGTAAAGGTTGGTAGGGCCACTTGGACCCCTATAAATGGCTCCACTTGGCCCGACCAGGCAGCCTATTTAGATCGGTCAACCTTTATTTTTCTTAGAGCTTGTTGTGTGTATAGAAACTACACACATAAGCCAAACAAAACAGATACGGCAGGGGGTGGGTGGGGAATTTTTTGATATTTTTTATTAAAACATGGGTCCCACACGTGAGATTTTTGACAGAATTCTGTGGAGCTGGTTTCTCTAAAATAGAAATATCCATTTTTCTTTTTGTATTTTCAGAAAAACAAATGTGAAAATGGATAATGTTGCAGATTGGATTTCTGATCCCTTTATCAATCTTGAAAGTGTAGAGCTTCCTTGATGAACTTATCAAAGTTGACATGAGATGATCCCCCGACATCAGTAGCTTCTTGTGCTATTTTCTTCCATTCCTTAGCCTTGATTCTCATTTTCTCACCTTTCTCACCTCCCATCATTTCCCTAACCAATTGCGCAACTTCATCGCGCTTCACGTCATAATCGATCTCCGTCCCAATTCCCCATTTTGAGCACGAATAGTAACAATTTGTTTGCTGATCAGCAAAAAAAGGCCAGCAGATCACTGGCACACCTGCACATATGCTTTCCATCATAGAATTCCATCCACAATGTGTCAAGAACGAACCTACAGCAGGGTGTTCCAACACCTGATCCTGCGCACACCAGCTTATTAACAATCCTCTATCCTTAATCTCCTCAAGAAATTCTTCAGGCAACATTGCTGATCCGTCTTTCACAACGTCTGGCCTGACAATCCAGAGAAACGGTTGCTTGCTGTTTGCGAGCCCCCACGCGAATTCTTGAAAATGAGTTCCTGACATTGTTGTCACGCTCCCATAATTCACATAAACGACTGACTCAGGTTTTTGGCTATCTAGCCATTCAAAAACTTTAGAGTCCGTCTTCCATAAGCTCGAGTTTAGAGACTCGGCTTGGCTTTCAGGGAAGTGCCTGCCAAGTAGAGAAAGAGGCCCTACTGTGTAAATGTTTGGGAAATTGAATTTGGATATTACAGCCTGTAAGGCTTCTTGTTCAAATTCGTAGAAGGTATTGAGAATTATGGCAGGAGCTTTCAGACAATTCTGTGCTTCTTCTCCCATGAAATCGAACATGATGTCATTGGGATCAGTTGTTCGGATAAAACTAGGAACGTCCTTAAGGCAAATATTTTTCAGACCGGTCATCCAATCAATTGGGGTGTCAAGAGTGCCATCAGTGAGGTAGTCATCATCTGGAATGAAATGGCAACAGATCTCCATTACAGGCAAATCAAAAGACAACTAATATACAAGAAAATATTGTAATTTGTACTCCATGTAATTCATGTTATATTGTCTTTACATGTTTAGCATATTATTAGAGTCAGCAAATGTCTGGATTCAAATCTCGTTTGCCAACATGATAATTGTCCATGGATTAGTTTTGCATAAAAATATCCTGCAACCTCAAATCCTAATTACTGTATGTCTTGTAAGGTGGATTGGACGGGAACCAGCCCACGTGATTGATACGTACAGGAAAAAAAAGACAAAAATGTCAGTAGTGGACAATTGAATTCTCTCTCCTCAGTTCTTCCAAATCAACTCATCTTCCACCCATTTCCTTCCCACAAAAGAAAATCACAGAAAAAGGAAATTCTCTGTTTCATGCATAACCCACTGCATATAAAATGAAGGCAAAAAATAGAGCGTGAAATCCTGCCAAAATCTTCACATTCACCATATAGAGGGGCAGAAAATAGGTGACGGAAATAGGAAAATTAGGTGACGGAAATAGGTAAAAATTTTCGAACAAGTTGCGTAGTTCTTCGAACTTCGCCACTCCAACCGTAGGCTTCACATTTCCAGAACCGGGTCACTTGTTCCGACAGTATGAATTTATGGTTGAGAGTGCTAGGGTCAAGCACCATAGACAATCTGGGAATTCATTTGGAGTACAATATCAAAACCAGTGGATGTGATTTCATTTGTTGTAGCAAAAGGATGTTTGATTTGTCCGTTTCATTGATTCAGACTGTTGAGGAAGAATTGAAATGAAAATTTTGCTAGTAAACCATTTGTCTACGGTGTGCAACCTCATCAAAATCCTAAATTGGTTTAATTAACAATAAAGATGGAAGCACAAAAGAGGCCAGTTAAATATCATTGATGAAATCACAAAAGTTAATGACAAAAATTTAGGGTATGAAAACCACCAACATGCATTGCAACAATAAAAACTGCTAGTTGGACATATTGAAGATTTAGAAGACAATGACAACATAAATGTGCATTGCAACAATAAAAACTGCTAGTTCAACCAAATTCCACCAATATAAAATGTGTTAGCAAGGCACAAGGCACATGAAGTTAAAACTAGCAAGGCACAAGGTACATGACATAGCCACTGCTAATTCAATCAAAATCCACCGATTGCACTAAACTAATTAACCAAATATACAACATGCCTCTACTTAACACAAAATAGTCACGAAACAACCCAACGAAGGGTGCGTGAGGTCTGATCAACATCATAATAAAGAAAAGGACAGTGCTGTGTGCACAACTCGACACACAGCACGGTTGACAGCCCCCTCACATCGGAGGGAGCCCGCACACATTAAAAGAAAATAAAATCGAGGTGGGCCCCCTCATTGTGAGAGGGTTGTGAACATCTGGTTTAATCCTAAAGAAAAATCTTATTAAAATATTCTTGCAATTCAGAGTGGACAAAATAGAATATTATAATAAAGTCTACAGCGGTGGGCGGGTTGCCCTACACCATCTGGCGGTGGCCAGGTGGAGCTTTTTACTATTAAAATTTTCAACAAATTAATGTGAATGCAAGAGTATTTTTAGTTTAATTGTTATGTGCGTTTAATGGTTTTTTGGTTCTTTATTATTAAAAATTAAAGTCTTTGAAGAGTATTTCTAAATTAATTTCGATATTTTACAAAAGTAAATTAAGATTTTCCTTTTTAAAAAAATTATTAATAAAAAATTACTTTTAAAATTATGCTTGTCAAAATAAACAACTTAAAATTAATTTTTCATTACTTTAATTAAACACATCAAGGATCTTATCATTTTTTATGGGTGTTTGATAGACATTTTTATATAAAAATGCATTTTAGAATAGTAAATTGATGTGAAATGTGTGGTTGAGAAATAAGAAAAAGTTTTTTATTTACGTGTAATATTATTTTAATAAAGAATGTGTGGTTGAAAAGAAGAGAGAGAAAAATACATTTAAAAAAAATGACTACTAAACGGGACCTATATTTCCAATGTTTGGGGGTAAGCCCGCAAAATGGGCGGCCGAAATTGGCCACTACTAAAAATTTCATTTTTAATGATAGTGATTTTATCTTTATACACAGATGCTAGGAAAGAATATGCTATACAATATCCCAAGAACCTTTCGGTTTAATCGTTACCGTTGCAAAAAAAACCTATTATTTAGCCTACAGGACAGGCTTTTTTTCTAAAAAAAATAATTTATAAAGAACATTTTTTCTTGTTATCTAATACTTCTTTTCTCCAAGAAAAATTCAAAGAAGAAAAAAAAAAATTGAAATTTAGGACCATATGTACGAAACATGAACATTCTCTCGTGTTGGATCGAGTAAAACTATGTAACGAATAATTTGAATAAATTTAAAATTTTCATGATTGACTCTTACATGAATGCCGCACTATTAGAGTTTGATGGCTTAGGCCTAGCTTGCATAGACTTTCATTATTTTGTACACTCCTCAAATAAAAAAGTTTTAGTACATAACTGTTATAAACAATGAAGAAGATGTCGGATTTCTCTTATATCAATTTGTAGTAATAATAGGCGAGAAAAGAAAATATGAATGTTTGTGACATTCCTTCCAAGTAGAGGAAGAGGCCCTATTGTGTAAATGTTTGGGGAATTGAATTTGGACATTACATCCTTTAAGGCTTCTTATTCAAATTCGCAGAAGGTATTGAAAATTATGGCAGGAGCTTTCAGACAATTCTGGGCTTCTTCTCCCATGAAATCGAACACGATATTGTCGGGATCGGTTATTTGGATAAAACTAGGAATATCCTTAAGGGAAATATTGTTCATGTTATATGATCGAGGAGATTCAGAGTATCCCACCAGTATGGCATAGGCATACATACATTTGAAAATCGAGAATTGGGTGGCTAATATGAAAATAAGAAAAGCACACAGTGTGCAAGAGAGGAGGTTTGTGGAAGAAAAAAGTTAAAATAAATAGGTATATATGGTCTTTAATTATACATATTGTTAGAATAGCAAATGTATGGACTGAAGTCTCATTTGCCACCCCTTAATGAAAATTTTGCTTAAAAGTATCCCACAACACTAAATTCTAATGGTATGTCTTGTAAGGTGGATTGGAAGCTTTAAATAATATTAAATAAGGAAAAAAATTAAATTTTATATACTATATTGTTTAGTACGATGTTGATACTCCGCACCGTAACAATATACGATGTAAGTATGTTTTATACACTATAGTGCAACATATAATTTTAAAGATTTTAATTATGTACTATCAAATCCACTATACAGAACTTACTATAGACGTATTTCCTGACTAACGATTTTCGCTTTTCAAATGAAGTGATTTGGCAAGAGAGACCTAATATAGGACATCACTTACTTTAGAAAGGGCAAATGCCTCTCTTGAGGAGATTCTCGGTAATGCAGTATCCTATAAAGGAGCAAGCGGAAGCAGTCCAAAACTGAACCTCTAGAATCCCCAAATCTTCAGCAGCCCTAATGGCAAAGCTCATAACTCCATCTCAAATAATACATGTAACTCGAGGTGTGTTAGGTGACGAATTAAGCCTAGACAGGAAGTAACACGACCCGTCCCGACTCAACCTAATTGACTCGACACGTGTCGTGCGCCGGTAGTAGATGCCAGCTATTAGTTTTACCTATTGTATTAGGACTTCACCTTATATTAAATTCTTCACGTATTAATTCTCCTAATATGGTAGGGATTATTTAGTTATAAATAAATAGTGTACAATACATATTGAAATTAACCAATTATTCAATTAATTATTGGTCCAAAGAGATCGTTTGTAACTCCTTACTATTGATTATAGTGAATTCTCCGCCTCTACCTGTTGTTTTCCTGAATTTAAGTTTTCACGTATATCTTTTTTTCTTGTGATCCATTATTTTCAAAGTACTCATATTATTCTCAGCTTTATTATTTGATTCAATTTTTCAACAAATTGGTATCAGTGCAATTCTAGTATCTTGTTTGTCTCGAACAATTGGTATCAGAACCAAGGTTTTGACGAGTTTTGGGAGGGGCGGATTGGCTATTAAAGCGAGGTTTGAACAATGTTGATTGTTTTAGGGATGGCAAGCATGAAATATGAGATTCCGCTTCTGGATCGCAATGTCAAATTTTGTTATGGCAGATTCTTGTTTGGACGCTGGAGGGAAAGCAAAGTAAGGAGTTGTGATCATTTTGCTCGTAGAGATAATTCAAGCAAATTTGTTAACTCTGATGGAGTTAGTTGTGAATGTAATGATTTCTTTGTTTGTGGTGATTCGAGCAAGTTTGGAGTCCAAGGTAATTCTGCTAGTAATCAGTGCTTGAATTCAGTTCATATTGGTTGAGTATGCTCGAAAAGGCAAGATGGAAGAGGTAGAGTATTTTGGTGGAGTGTTTTGCTTGGAGAATTTTGTTAGAATTAAAGTTAGGTTTTCTTCATTGCAATGAAATTCGTGTCAAGGTGGAATTTGTTAGAATTGGATTGTGACTTGAATTCTTATTGAGTATTTGCTTGGAAATGTTGTTGAAGAAATATTGGGAGTTGGTAGTAGACTTGAAGATGTCTTGAATGAGTTCAAGGTGAATTTGACTCATATTTCATCCGAAATTATTCATTATTGATTTGTCCCATCGTATTAGGACTTTACTTTATTTAAACTCTTCATGTATTAATTCTTCTAGTGTGGTAGGGATCCTTTGGTTATAAATATGTGATTTAAAAGAAATATTGAAATTGATCAATTGTCCAATTAGTTATTGGTCTAAAGATAACCTTTATAATTCCTTACTATTGATTATAGTAAATTCTCCGCATCTAACAGTGGTTTTCCGGATTTGGGTTTCCATGTAAATCTCGTTATCTTTGTAATCCATTATTTTCATATTTCTCGTATTATTCTTGTCTTTATTATTTGGTCTGATTTTCAACAAATTAGTATCAGAGCAATTATGATATCTTGTCTATTTCCAACAATTAGAATTTATGGTAGTCGACAAGCTTTGCTACACCACCTTACAGTGGCAAATTAGAGCTTTTACTATTAAACTAATGAATGTCTACGAGTCGTAATTGAGTATTTTGTAATGTAGAATAAATATATTTATTGGTTTGGTCCTGATAAATGGACGACAACTTCAATATATTGTATTTTTAATCTGTGTATACATGGTTAAATAACTACTTAAATATAATAATGAGTCTTGTT